TTCCTCAGTACATTTCAACAAGTTTCATAGCTAGAGGCAGGAACTGTAAACTCCAGTGATAGTGGTAACCAAACTTCAATTGCATAATTTGATTATAATCATACATTAATGCTAGTGTTTATAGATAAACAAAGGGCTTTGGCTGTTCTTTTATCATTTCAGTTTGTGGTTACAATGTAAAGACTTAATTCAGAGTCCTTATGTCAGAAATGAAGTTTATTTTTGAGAGTTCTCACATTTTAGACTATTTCAGGTCTATATCATTTCATTTCTGTGGATAACTATATGTCTTCCATTCATTATACAATCATTTATTCATCTTCCACATGTTCTCAAGTCCTTCTCTTCTATGTTTCCACAGATGTTGCTTTATTTTTTATCTTTTATCTTCTAGAGGAGCACCTCCCATACTATATATGCATACAAATCTTGGGACTCTTATTAAAATGCACATGCTGGTTTCTGTAAATCTGTTGTGAGGCCTGAGGTGCTGTGATTCCAGCAAACTTCCAGGTGATGCTGAAGCTGCCACCATGGTCCCCACCTCTAATACCCCTCGTAATCATTCTGCATACTGTCCTCAGAACTGTTTTTCTGAGACAGAAATCTGATCTTTTTCTCTGCTTCTTCAGACTCAATTGCGTATGGAGGTAAAATCCACACCTGTTTGTGTGTTTTTCAGAGAAGGTCCTCAAGGAATAGGCCTTTCCTGTCTACCATTCTCTAATCACCATCTCCACTTTTGGGAGAGCAATTGGAAATTCTTAACAAGTGCCTTAAACTTTCACATACTCTTCCTCACTGTACATCTGCCACGTAAGTTTCCCTGTCAAAGCCCTATGCAAATCTTACCTGCTCGGCAAAGTCTTATTTTACAATCCTCAGTTTCTCTAGTTTTTCTCATTCTCCCCATATCACTCTCCCAATTTTAAAGTAGCATTTATTACTTTGTCTCTTAATTCTTTGCTATCAAGTCAAGAAAATATTTGAACACCTACTCTGTTCTAGTTGTTGGAGATAGAGCAATGAACTCAAAAAATAAAACATCCCATTTGGCTTGCATTCGAACTCTTCTTCATTCCCTCCCTTCCTCTCATCCATCCATAAACATACTGTGATTTTCTTATTCACCTTTGTGTATCTATTATCTGGCATATAGTAGAAGAAATTTTATATCTATATTTTTGTGGGGGGGGGTGGTTAGTTAATTTGACTGCCTATTAGCTAACCTCTTTGCTTACGTTACAGGTAGGGCCCCAGAGAAGAAAACAGGAATGTTCATTTTCCATAAGCAGCTTATGGAAGAGGAGGTGAATGAAAGTAACACTAATGTTTTATTTTTAAGGAACATAAAAGAAGGGCATTCAGTGACACTGTAGCTATAGCATTTTATTTTTGCCGCCTCAGAGGACAATATATATAATAGGTAGAAACAGAACAACTAGAACTTGCCTCTGGAGAAAGTGGTACTGATAAGAAAGGAAATGTCCTTATTAAGGGTCCTTATTAAGAGTTCGTTCCTAAGCTGGAAGAGAATGTCTGTGGGTGGGAGGCAGGAGATGGAAAAGAGAATTAGTGTCACAGCTTGGACTTGTTCCTACAGGAGTGCCTTTTTCTTTTTTAAAGGAATCGTAGCTAAAAAAATTAATGTAGATTTTGTATTGTGCTCTGTAGTATGATTGTTTTATAAAATTAACATTTTAAATTATTTACTACAGAATAGAAGTGATCCCACATGTATCTTGTGACTTCTAGGAATCCTGGCACACCTCCACACTGATCTGTGGCAAACTTCTTGCTGTCCCCTCCTTGGTAAAGCTGTTACAGTTTTTACGTCTTCAAATGTGGCCTTTATCATAGTTTAATTTGGTACTTCTGTTCCTTAAAAACACTAAAGAAGCATGAGTTAGTACAGACTATGGCACTTTAATCAAGAATCACATTGTGCTCTTGATTTACACTGATGGGGAAAAGGAAAGAACACCAATAGAAATGTGTAACAGTATCTAAACATATACAGTGATGAAGGAGTTGCTGGAGGAACCATCAAAATGGAACTCAGGAAAATTGTGTAGGTAATAGTTTTTCATGTAAAGGACTACAGAATGGCTTGACAGAAGGGAGAAGGGAAGGGATTTCTATCTATATAGTGAGAATGGTACATGTGAGTGCTTGGAGAAAGGAATGATGGGGTGGTTATTGTAGCTTTTTAAACCATCAGGCCTCAGAAATCTAACTTTGGGTGGTGAACATATAATACGATATATATATATATATATACATATATATATGTGTATATATATATGTATATATATGACTTATATTGAACTTATTTGATTTTGTTAGTGTCACCCCAATAATTGTTAATTTTTATTTTTTCTAATAATTTTTAATAATAAAAAACCATCAGGCCTTTCTAGAATAGAGAGCATGAGCCAGTGGGAAGAGCTCTGGACTGGGTGACCCTGGTTTCACTTGGCAGTGATTTGTTGATTGTAATTGGAGAAGTCAGTTAACCTTTCTAGACCTAGTTTCTTTGTCTTTAAATTGAAGGAATTGAAATAATATGATCTGTGATTTACCTTCCAGCTCTAGCATTTAGTAATTCTGACTTAACTATCAGATGAGATGGCCTGGGACTTTTTGCTTTAGGGTTCAGCATCTGTTAAAATTGAAGTTTTATCTCGGAAGCTAAGCAGAGTCAGGCCTGGTTGGTACTTGGATGGAGACCAACTAGGAAGACCAGGTGCTTTAGGTGTAAAAATTTTTTAAAAATAAATAAATAATAAAATTGCAGTTTGATAATTGCAGTTTACTCGAGAGTCCTGCTCAGGGACCAGACTTAAAATATGAGCCATTCAGATCTTCCTTTTCCCTCTCATTTACTTAAGTCAGATCTTGAATTCATGTTTCTCCTTTCCTGCTCTATCTCATTTGGTAAGTCCTTCAGAATCTTTCTCCTGGGCTGTTGCTGTGCTTAACATTGCCTCATCTCACACCCTATTCCCTAGAATTTACCTTTTATACACAACAGCTAGATTAATCTCACTGTCCCTCTTCTATAAAAATAACTGTAGTGGATCTCCATTGTCTTCCAAAGAAAGGGCAGACTTGGTATCAGCTATCAATCTTAGCTCATGTTACTCCCCTCACATAATCTACAGAATAGTTAAACTAAACCTAATATCCTCTTGGTGCCCCTGCTCCTGTTGTTCCCTGCACCTGGTTGTGCCCTGCCTCTCCCCCATTGTCAAACATGGTCACAGTTTTCTCATCTCAGGTGCCACTGTCTCCATGAAATCTCTCAGGCTTCCCACAGCCAGAAGTAATCCTTTTCTTAACTCCCCTAGCACCCGTAGTGCCTTTTCTGTACCTAATAGTGCTGTTACTTTGTCTTTTTTTGTACTGCCTTATCTCTCTTAACTAAATTAACTCCTCGTGCTTAGGGAGTACCCTATTATCTTACATAGGGCGGATGCTCAGTAAATATTTGTTAAATGGATGAATCCTGATTGATTATAGTTCACATCCTTGTTATCTGATTGGCAGTGTTTCTTATTTTTCTGAATAATCACTAAGAAAAGAACTCTGCCCAGAAGAATTAATAAGCTAATAATATAAGAATAAGAACCATTGCTATAGATGTATAATTCCCAAATTTGTATTTAAGGGAAGCAAAATATTTTCAAGCTGGAGCCTTATCTTTGAATTTTGAGTTTCATTCACCTAGGCTTTCAAGGCACTATAGGATACCTTCCTTTTTAGCTGAACTACCTCACGGTATTTTGTATTTTGTTTATTTGCATCAGTTAGTATGCTTAACAATTTTTTGTCTTGCGGCGTTTTTAGAATGAGTATTTACAAACTTAGGAATTTAAAAAAATAATACATGGAACAATTAAAATAGTTCATAAAAGAAATTTACTGTTTTCATAGTAGAAGCAGATTATCCTCTTTAGTATACACTGCCATGCAATTAATGTTAAGATCAGAAATTGCATCTTACGCACACTTAGTGCTTTCAGAACCATTGATAAGATTCTTGAAAGTTTGCTGTACAGATCAGGATAAAGATCTGGTTATCAGTTGATCAAAACCATAAGCACAGTAGGCCTTTGGAAAATCGTTTGCATGCCTAAGATAGCATCTTGGTTTAAAGAAAGCAGGCAGACTTTGCATTGCAAGAGTTGATGACTTAGAACATATTCCATCAACGCAGGAAATAATGGTTTATTATGGGAGATTGAAAAGAGAAATATAATCTCCTAAAATTCTACACCATCACTTTTTGACCCTGTAACTCCTTTCAGCTAATCTTTGTTTAGAATACTATGCTACAACACGTTTTGGCATTTTGGCATTGTCTCGCTGAACTCCAGGGAAAGCAGATACATCTTATATAGGATTAGACCATTAACATAGACATTACCTCACTTGTCTCTAGATGATGTAATATTAATCTCAATTCTAGCAATCCCCTATCACCAGTCATGTGGGTATAGCGTCTTTAAAAATTAAAAGCTGCCAAATGGCTTACTACCAATGCTTTTTTCAAAATATAGTGGTTCTTTAAAGCTATTGCAGATGGTTTACCTGTTGAAACTGTTAAGTAAATGAAGAATACTTCCCGATTTCCTTATTCTCTTGCCATTAAAATATAAGGTATTACAACATATTTATGCAAGTTAAACTCTATATGCTAGCATTGGTTTATAAAAGAAGTATATGTGTATTTCTTATAGTATGTAGATAAAAGGAATGGAGCTTGGTGTAAGGAGCAATGCAAGAAATAAACCCCAGGAAAAGTGAAAAGTTGAACTCTAGTTGCTCTTCTAGAGTAATTGTGGGGAAGGATGGGCGGGCAGAGTTGATCCCGGACAAGCACTTTTACACTGATCATTCAGTTGTGGGTGGATTGCGGGTATGGGGAGGAGAGGAGATGGATTTTTTTAAATCTCTATATGTTTGATCTCTCAGTCTCTTTCTCTCCTTTTCAGGAGTTAGAAGCTGCTCTTCACCGAGATGATGTAGAGTTTATCAGTGACTTGATTGCCTGTTTGCTTCAGGGCTGCTATCAGCGAAGGGATATCACGTAAGTAATTCTGATCTTACTAAGTTTTTTGTAGAGAAGACCAGTCAACCAGTGGTGTTTTCATGTCTCCTATAACCAAAACTAATCATTAGCCAATTTTACATAACAATGTAGAACAAGTATTTACAAATGGATTCCCAAGCCCTGTGTTTGGCTTTTTCTGAAGTTGAGTTTTAATTTTATTATACTCTTTGACTTGACTTGACTCTCACACATCTGTCTGTTAGTCTTGGATCCACCAGCTAACATTCAAATGTAGAATTTCTTCTCAGCATATGCCTTTCTTTCTAATTTTTATTTATAGTATTTGTAAAATGTTGCCTAACAAATTAAAACTAGATTTTACCGTATTTCTGCCTCTCGAGTATCTTCTGTTGGTCTCATAAACAGTAGTTTAATTCTTAACATGGAGCTTCTAGACTCCCTCCTGCCACAGCTGGCAAATAAACAGCTCTCCAATACATTTGAGATATGTAGAAATTTGGAGCAAAATTTTATCTACGTAGACAAATAAAAGATCTTTCTGATATGGCCTTCTCCCTTGTTTTGACCCTAACTTGGTACACATTTTCTTTGCTACTACATTTTGACACAGAACAGAACTATAGGGCCACTCTGAAAAAGCTGAGACACAGTGGGTTTCCCAGGCTCTGGCCTTCCAATTTATGCAAGGGTTTGGTATGCTATGGTTTTATGTTTTTCAGAGTTAAATATGGTATCTGAAATACTTCCATTCTATTTAATCCACTCTTGGGTGTCTGTTAGGGCTGGGAAGCTAGGTTGGATACTAATGTGCAGTAAACTTGTAATTACAAAGTGAGTTAGAAATTGCTGAAATGCCTTTTTTTTTCAGGGTGGACATCTCTATTCTTTAAGTGAGAATTACTACTCCTGGACTCACAGTTAACATAATGATCCTCCCTTGCCCCAGAATACCCAGGTGGTTGTTCTAAACAAGTAGAAATAAAAAGAGAAAGTCATCTATCGTCTTACCACTCATGCATGATAATGATGTAACTTGGGGGCTTATGTGGTTTTTAAGCACAGTTGTAGTCATATTGTTTATATAATTTTACATTTTCATGTCTTGCATTTTTTTATTATAATGATTATTTTTCTTATAACCATCTTCTTTAAATGCGATTCTCAAAAAAATCCAATTTGGTAGATATTTGTGTCTAGCTTTTAACTCTTATATATACATGTTAAAATTCATAGCCTTGGACATAAAAGTTTGTACACCTAGTGAATTATCTCCTTAGTTTAAATTTCTGGAAATGTAGTCACTCAGTCAAAAGAAATGCCTATTTAAAATTTTTTAGATAAATTGCCAGGCTGCCCACTACAGAGGTTGCTCCATTTTACCATCAGAGGGTATCTGTTTGCCTAAATCTTGTCCACTGTATGCTGGCCAGCAGGTACTAGTAGAACAGACACCCTCAGAGCCTTCACAGAATTTACAGTCCTATACTGTAATAATTATAGAAATTACTACTGTGATTGTAAATTGTACAGTCACTGCGATAAGGGCTCTGAAGTCAACAGAGCATATACCATGGTGTGAGAAGATGATAGTGTGAACCGAGCCTTCACATATAAGCTTTCTTAGGCCAGTGTCTCTATATTATAAAACCTAATAAATAAGTGAATGAGTGAATGAACCAACCAAAGAATTGTAGGTAGTAAGAGTGATTGTCTAGGGTTTGATACCCTAGAACAGAGCCTAGAGGTTATAGAGTAATAGATCTCATGTGGTTCAGAAACACGATTTGAGTTTCACAGTCTTGACCTCTTGAGTGTTAAAATTTTGATTTGTTGCTAACATCTAAAATGAGATTTCATATTTAAAATCCCAATTCATATTTTTTTAGAAACCATCTTATGGTCTGACACTATTAGATGGTGTGCTCTGGTCTGCCTCAGTCCCCAGCATTCCTTATTACTCTCCCATGCTGAGGCTAATTGTTCCTTATCAACTATCATGTTCACTTGGGCCCACTTCACTTATTTTCTTTACCTGTTTGTCTCCTGCATGCATTTCAGTTCAAGGAATTCAATACAGCCACAGCATAATAGGAACTGGAGCCTAACCAGCCTTGTACACTGGGTTAAGAATTTGGGGGTATAATCCTAAACACAAGAAGAGTCGGGGAGTGGTGATATTTGTGTTTTTAAATAAGCATTTAGGAGCAAAAGAGGAAACAACATCAGGTAGGAGCTAATGAATTAATCAGATGAGAGAGGAGAGAATTGGGCAGAGAGAAGGACTGTATTAAGAAGGTAAAATTGACTAGACCTGGTGTCTCTCACCTTGACAAATTTGATAGGTAAAAAGCTGTTTTGTTGATCATTCTTCACATTCAACATCTCTTAGGTTTATTGCACATGTTTGTAATTTTTGTATACTTGAATTTTTCATTATATACTTGGATCATTTCTTATATTGGTGTGTTGGTTGAAGATAGACAAAAAAAATGTCCATTTAAAATTTGCCAGGCTTCCCTTCTCAAAGGTAATTCTGTATTAGTCTTGCTTGAGAATGTTCCTCTACCCTCTGCAGCTCTAGGTGTACTGACAGGACAAAAGTGTCTCCTATCCCTTATGGAGCTTAGAGTCTTTTGTGTGTGATGGTGAGAGTGGAAGTAGGCAGTCTGATGGAAGATCTAAAGTCATACCTGAAGAGCTGAAGTCATACCACGTGGCCCTCTCACAACATGGCTATTGTATCTTCACAGCTAGCATGAAAAACCTCTAGTCTGCCAGGATAGTTTTATATGACATGTGTAATCATGGGAGTGACATCCCTTTGACATAGTCTGTTGACTAAAAGTAAGCCACAGGCAAGTTCTGCCTCATACAGGGGTAGGGATTGAACAAGAGAATGACTACCAGGAGGCAGAAATCATTTTGGGGGTCTCTTCAAAGCTGCCTGCTATACATACTTTTATTATAATTACTGTATCTTCCAGTACAGAGCTAAATAATATTGGTTAAGTTTTAAGTTTGTGTCTAATCACATTTACTTAGTTATTAACAATGTATTATAAATTCTGTGTATTTTGATAGGCTTTGGACAAGAACCAGTTCATTTTTGGGTAATTACATGTAGATAGAATTATCAACAAGAGGTTTTGGTTTGCCCCTTTGGGTAAATGGCTATAACTAACTTGTACTTAGTATAATTTTATTCCTCCCATATTTACCATTAGTCTCTACTATAAATTATAGAAAAAGTATATACCTACTTTGATAACATTTTCTATAAAAACAACTAATTTGAAAATGATGTTCTGCCTCTACAGAATATTTTTAGCTTAGTTGGAACTTTTTTCCATCATTCATTATATTTTCGCTTGGGTTCATTTCATTTTTCAGTTTTATGAGGTGATGAAGAAGAGATGACAGGAGGTCATCTCATAGATTAATAAGGTCTCAATTTGATAGAGAACGAAACACAGTCAAAAACTTATCAGGTCAAGTAGCCAGTTAGAAGATGAAAAATTCCCACATCATCATGCCCTTAAGGCAAGATAATATGAAGAATTGAAAGAATGAGTCATAGAATCTGAATTTTAGGCCTATAACTCAGACACTCTCAGATTCTCTCTTCTTAACATTAATGTGTTTTGTCAGGATAAAAAGAAAAATTTAAATATCACCTAGTATGGTATAGAGCAGAAATTCTCATTTCCTCCTTGAAGATGGGACACAGAATGAGGTGTATGTACTGCCTGGGTTTCTTTTTTTCATAGGTATATGTATATCTAGAGGTAAAAATAGATATTTCAGAATGTATCAGTCTCATCAAAACTATGTTGGCTTATCAGTTACATGCAGATGTCCTGTTTCATTCTGTCATTTGTTTTTTCTTCTCTGTCCTTTCTACAACTTCTACCTTTGTAGACTGCTCAGAGGCCCATATTTGGGAGAGGTTGCAGAGATTGCCTGCTTCCCTTCCACCATGCTGAATTATAACAGCTCTTATAAATACCAGTTTTCCCCTTATCACAGCACTGTGTCACTTACTCCTAAATGATTTCTTTTGAAATGAGGAGATAACTTCTCTTAAAAAAAAACTAATCAAATGTCAAAAGATTTCAGTGCTTGCTGTAATGGGGAGGAGAGAATGGAGTTTTTTTCCCTTCCCTTTGCCTGCCGGTGTTCCTTTGACTTTTCTGCTATTGAAGGAAAATGTGAAGTATAGAAAAGCAAAAAGAGCCCAGGGAGCCCAGTGTTCTCTATTATCCTTTTGTGTGGGTTGTGGGGTGAGTGGTATGGCAGCGCAGGTCCTGCCACTAGTGATGAAGAGTTCTTCCATAAAAGACAGAACCTGCTCTTTGGTTCTGGGGCAGGGAGGTAAGTGATTGTTCTAGCATTTCTCAAACTTTAACAAGTAATTTTTACATGTTAAAAAAAGTTAAGCACACAGGGAACAAAATATTTCTGAATGATCAAATGAGTTTGGGAACTGGTAGCACCAACATTTTTAATTAATTGGTCTGGGGTGAGGCTCAGGCTTTATTTATGCTTTAAAAAACTTCTTATTGTTGATGTGTAATATACACAGAAAAGTGCACTTAATTATACAGCTCAATGAATTTTTATAATCTGAATATACCTGTGTAATGAGCACCCAGACAGGAAACCAATACATAGTGGATTTTACTTTTTCCATTGAAAGGAATTGCCCAAAGTGATATTTTATCCCACCAATGGTATTGACATGCATTTAGAGTGAATACATGCTCATTATTCTCTGAAGTTTTACTTTTATCCCATCCTAAAGAAAGAAATTTGGACAAATTTTCTGGTTCTAAGACTTACCTATTATTCGGAGCTAAGAAAGTTACTTAATGAATGTCTTTGTGCATTACTTGCCACCTCTGTATAATGGGAATAACAATACCCATTAAATTATTGTGAGGATTAAATGAAATAATTTATGAAAAGTCTTAGAATAGTTGAGCTTTTAATAAATACCAGTTTATTAAATCAGTGTA